TAATACTCTTAGCTAATTTGAATAACTATGGTGTCAGAGGCCTTCCGCTTCCCCAACTTAAAAATTACCTCACAAACCGACAACAATTTACTTCCTTTTCCTCTCACGATTCAGCAAGGGTGTCATAGAGCGAAGACCCTATTGGACAATATGGGTAGGGGGTGGGGAACCGAAGGGGCCCGCCCCTAAGGGTCTGTGGCCCTTGGAGCAATTTTTAAGAATAGGCCCCTCTGGACACTCGGAAATGGCACTCTCGGATTGTAAAAATGCTTTTTCACACGCAGTTCCTCGACAAAATCATTTACTTCCTCCCGACAGGGCTATGCTCCTCCTCCCTTGGACACCCCTCCCCTCACGGGCGTCGCAAAGGTGTAATCAAGGACCTCTATTCTAACTGGGGAGTCACAAAGCAAATTAAGATTATGGCACCTCTAGAATATTTTATTTCAATTTTCTTTTTATTTTGACAAATAGGGTGGCCCTTGGCCGGCTGGGCACCCCATCCTCACAGGATTATTATGATGTGTGTAATACAGTCGATGTCAGAGACACATTATACTTATGTTGTTATGTATTAACAAAGCCATTTTGGATAAGGGTGTAGAGCGAGGACCCTCATAGTTAGAAATGGCCCTGCGGATTTTCGCACGAAAACGCATATCGCACCGGTAGGCGTTACGCCACTGAGCATGATGCACTGTTCTACAGCTGGGTTACTACATTCCGGTTAAAAAAAACTCTTAGGTCTGTCTTTTTTACATCCTGATTTACGAAAACGTTTCAAAAATCGGCGTCTGGGATATAGCGTCGTGTTCTTTGTCAATCAAAGATCTTATAAACACAAGATAGCGTTCTCCGCGATTAACGCGTGCATATTCTGTAATAAGGCATGAATGGCGCCCTCTTGCTAAATTGGAAACTTTTGACCCTTGACCGCTCTGACAATACTGAACACCTTGGTATCAAGCCTGCTGTGAACAGCAGAACAGGAACCATCTCAGATCCATGGCAACAGATAGGACGCCCTCTTCCAAAACTGATTACTTTTTCAAAAACCGAAAGGTCCACTGATTAATCTCAGATAAGAAAGTATAATACATACTCCAAGTATTGAAATACACGCCATCGTGTTGGGATTCAATATTTCGACATTAATTATGTCATCATCAGGAACATATTAGCAAGCTTATAATGCACTAGTACCAAAAGTGTTTAACCAATCAAAACATTACCTCTAGTAGGTGACATATAGGTTTAAATCACTGCTATGTCACCTACTAGAGGTAATGTTTTGATTGGTTAAACACTTTTGGTACTAGTGCATATAAGCTTGCTAATATGGATAATTTTTTCATTCCTGATGATGACATAATTAATGTCGAAATATTGAATCCCAACACGATGGCGTGTATTTCAATACTTGGAGTATGTATTATACTTTCTGATTACTTTTTCTCTTTGGTATATAATAGCTCATGAATGGCGCCCTCTTGCTAAATTGGAAACTTTTGAACCTTGACCGACGCTTCTATTTGTTACGCATAAATCGCGGAGAACGCTATCTTGTGTTTATAAGATCTTTGTTGTCAATCAATAGAAAATTAAGTTAGTGAGTGGTAAAATAATCGAGCTCTCCTTTCGCCCACTGCTAGATAGGGACATGATGAGATGGTTCTTGTCCAATCTAAAGGCTGCGCTGGGGTTGTACGTGTATAATTCGGTGCTTTCATAATGTATGTCTGTGCGTTTGGTTTGAATTAGTTCTATAGTCTCTCCCAGATTCGGACCCAGTTCCAAATAGAGCAAGTATATAATCATTTTACCACATTATTCTATTTGCAATTGAAAGATTCTTTTCATGCAGTGTGCCATAAAGAATTTTTGTATAAAAGCAAAGTAAACCGGTGTTTATCTGATATTTTACTTCAGTCCCGTCGCTGTGAAAACAAGTCATAGGCCTATTTGTCGCAGAAGAGTGACTGCCCTGCCCGTCCCCATGTCAATTTTGATGGCGGTTGGCATCAGAGGTTATTGGCCGAGAAAATACCCAACCTTGGGCTGTGGTGGCGCCAGGATTTGCCCGACATGGGTCCGATATCCCCGGGGATATTTATTTATTTTGTTGATTTCAACTTTATTTATAAAGGGTAGCCCTTCCAGCAGAATCCGAAGGCCAGATGATGTTCTGAGCCCTCTTTAAAATTTAAGTAAAATACATATACCTGTACAGTGGTATACAAAACAAGGCCTATATATCCATACATCAACAAGACAAAATAAGTGTCAAGATAGCATTATTATTAAGTAATAATATTATTGATAATAATAATAAAAATATTAATAATAATAATTGTTATTATATTATAGAGTAATAATAATAATATAATTTCATATATCTAAGAAATTATTAATCTAAGAAAATATTTATCAGCGATGAATAAGGCCACGTGAGTGGCAGAAATATCCGAGTTAGGCCTACTAATAAATCAGTGTTTTTAAAGTCTACTATTGAACAAGTGGTTTCATATTTTTTTCTCTATTCTCTCAGAACACACGTGGAACATGAATGATATATAGGCCTATACACACATATATAGGCCTATACCGTATATATAGGCCTATATATAGGCCTATATACACATTATTATATGCAAACATAAATACACACATACACATGCACATAATATCTACACACATATACGCACATACAATCAATCTATACCTTAATACAGAATAAAAAATGTATGATTTTAATTGAGATTAAAAAGTGTAAAATTAGAGCATTCCCTTAGCAAAATTGGTAAAATATTGTAAAACGTAGGAGCAAAATAACTAAAAGCACTTCTAATCTTTCCAGCTTCAAATTCGGAACAAGATGGACACCCCTGCAGGCACTCATTGTCCGTGAGTTGATAGATACAACAGAAAGCCGCACGGCCAGGTAATCCGGGGTGATGTTATTGAGAGCCGTAAGGCAGCCCACCTGGTATTGCACCCTTTGTGACTCACTCATGATTTTAAGTGATGTCCCGAGAGTCAGTGTAGAAGTGCGTTGTGGTGAACTTATGATGCGCATAGCACGATTTTTGATTTTCTGAATTTTGTCAATATGTGCAGTGTAGCCGGGGTGCCCCATAGAAGAGCACCGTTGCTATATTCAATTTGTAGTAGTATAAGGGATTTTAAAAGTAAAAGTGCAGTCGTATCTTTTGGAAGTCATCCAACCGGGCCGTATTTCTCAGAAATTATGATAATTTAGGGGTTTCAAAAATATCTTATTTTGACGATTTAGAGTCTACAAATGTAAAAAAATATACCGGTATAAGGCCTATAATTTATTTTCTCCCCGAAGAACTGTGTTTTCCTCCCTGACGGGGAGAATAAAAATAGATTAGGCCCTAAACTCATGGACTATCATTAAAAAACGAAAGTAACAATTCACAGGGAAAATCTAAATATGAGAGATGTCCCAAGTTGGTAGAGTGAAATTTCTGGGTAGCTTGTCGTTTATTGAAGTGTAATATGGGTACGTTTTTTCAGGGAACAGTGAAATTATTTTTTGGTTTATTAATTGTACATATGGCATGTTAATTCAACGTGTCATGCCAAAAGCCACTGCAAATACCGGTATTTAACAGAAACTATAGCTTTGTAAGTGGCAAGCAATAGTGAAAATAAGTCATTTTCTGGTTTTATTGAACTTAGGTGGTGATTCAAAGGTATGAAGCTGTTTAAATTGTAGGGCCTAAGTAACCTAATGAAAGAGAAAAATGTTTTATTTTTTGAAAATATACACTTAGGAACCATGATTTTAATATTCACAATGAAAATTCTATATTTCCTGGGAAAAACCTGTAAAAAAAATTATGGGAAGAAGGTATTCTCTTAAAAATCTGGGAAACCCGCAAATTTCTGGGAATTTTGGAGGTCTGGTATGATGCGCATAGCACGATACGAACGAATTGAAGGAGGATATACAGAGGGACACACAAGCTTCAAAAGTCTCGTTATCAAGGTAGAGTCAAGGTACGGTATGTAGGTAGAAAATAAAAACGAACCAATAAAACTGCACTGTTCTCCAGCAATAATACATTCATATTTAATTTTTTCGTCTCAACATTACAAAATACATGACAGAATGAAAAAATCGAGACTGCAGACTACAACAAATTATAAAAATAATTAGAAAAGCTATAAGAAAATAATTTTTTCCCAAGTATTGGGAAACATCGCTCCTTACTAAAATCAATAGACAAAAAATTATTATTTCTGGCCCTGCAATTGTATTATGTAAATTGTGTTGGTAGGCCAATAATACTGGCTGGAAGCGGTTATCACTCTTCAAAATGAGTTCGTGAGTACTTATTTTTCGGATTTCTCTTAATTTGAGCAATCCCTCAATTTATTATTTGGCAATTTTTAAATTCTTATGCAATGCAGTGTTTCATAATTTTTAAATTGTTTGTATTTTTATAATTGAATTTTGAATAAAAACCATGAATGAATGAATTTTAAAAAATTAAAAGGTTTAAAGAGTACAGAGATGGTACAACCACAATTTTGACAAGAGAACATCATTCTTCGCGTGTTGTTTGATGGTTCGAAGGTATCGTCTAGTGGTTGGTGGCGCTACACAGACTCAAAGTCAAAGTTTTCGTGTAGATGCGCCTCGAGCTCCTAAAGCACATGTATGATGGACATCATGTTGATGTTTTGTTAAGCATGAAAACGCTACAGAAGAACATTACGGTTGTTTGCTGATTCGTTGTCATTTGGAATGTAAGTGGCCCATCGGAAACGCTGTAATTATACGTATGTTAGGAATGCATACTAAATAAACGGACACATAAGATATTGTTTGTGGCAGAGATTTGTAGCATTTTTTGTATTGTTGCGTTTGTTTGTATCTAGTAGGCCTAGTAGTACTAGTAGTAGGCCTACCTACCTACCTAACCTTCTGTAGGCCTAGGCCCCATATAGCCTTAGGCTAGGCCTAGCTAGGTCCAGCGGCCGGATTTATCAACCTAGAAATCAGCTTAAATTCGTCTTAAGTCAATTTTTTTTGCTTAAGTCAGATTTTTCAATATTGCTTAGCTTAAAAATTGCTTAAAATTAAAAAGTTAATTGTACGCATGCACCATTCTAATAAGATAGTTTTTAAGTTAAGATTTTGTTAAGATGGTTTGAAATCAGCTTAAAATATTTGCTTAGGGACATCTTTGACTTTAGACATTTCCTAAGCCTGAATAGTGTATAATATCTGTCTCTTATACACATCTAGATGTGTATAAGAGACAGCCGACGAGGGGCCAGATTTCCCCCACGAAAGCAAAGTGGGCGTGGTCGAGCTTCAATTAATAGGTTCCAAAAGTGGTCTTGGGGGTGAAGCCCCCGAAAATTTTGACAATTCAGGGGTTTCAAAGGCTTATTAAATCAATATTAGAGTCCGCCCCCCCCTGTCGCCTCCCCTGGTGGGGTTCAGGTGCCTGGGGCCACGGTGGGGTCGGGGGCGAAGCCCCGAAGCCAGAGCAGTTTTTGTGTTTAATGGGTCTATAATAATGTTATAAAAGCAGTTTGGCCTATGTTTTGAAAAAGATCTATGTAATGAAGAGGTGGTAATATAATAAAATTAGAAATTATTTTCTGAGAATTGGCATGTTTAAATCACACCGAAAGATATAAAAAAAAGCTCATCGCATAATCAATATCAATATACTCAACACGTTTATTATTATAAAACAAAAAAAAAAGCTATTCTTCTTTTTCCTCCTCCTCTTCTTTTTCTTCTTCTACTTCTTCTTGACTCTCATAATAATAGGACTATTTTACTACATGGCTAAAAAAAGCACAAATACTGCCATTACTACTGATAGGGCCATCGTTAAATTAAGTCAGAGCCCAAAATATAGCATAATTCGAAATTATTATTTTAAGACTTTATAACCATAATACATAGCCTACTGATTAATAATAGCTGAGATGCACATTTCAGAATTAATAATCGTTTTTAGTATATCTTACTGAATATTTATTGTCTACAAAATAAAATATGAATTACATGCATCTTTAGAAACACAATTTCTACAATATTATTCTTGTTTTTATGTAGATAAATGTTCGATAAATTCTTTCTTTCATAAAAAGAAACAAAAAAAAAAATGAAATTTAGCGCTTCTATTTACATTCTAATCAATGGTGTTTGTAAACGTGCACGGACGTCATCGTCGAATCCCAGGACTTCCGACGGTAAAGCTGGCCTGCCTGCCTAGGTCCGTCCCAGGCCAACCAATAATAATTAACAAAATGTATTTTTTTAAATATAGGCCTATGGCGCATCTTGTACATGCACTTCAGCTTTTACAACAAAAGTAGGCCTACCTGTAGTACGTTCTACTGTACTTAGGCCTAGGCCTACACTTTGTTGTCGCCGGGGTATAATTCTGTATCTAAATGAACAAGGAGCGAACCTAGCTTTAAAATCAATAACCCACCAGGACTATCTGTCATTTTCTTCTTTGCAACAGCGGACGAAAAAAGTCAGTTATTCTACAACGTTTCATGATTCTTTATCACTAAACATTAACAAACACTCGTTTTGACGCACTCCGTTCTGTAGCGTGTCTGCTGTTTAAAACAAACTTCCTAGCCTAATTTTGAGACTGGCTATGATGACTGAGATGGACTATGTTGATTTATTAATAATATTTTTTTTTTGGGATGAAAAAAAGGAGAGTCCATTTCCCCAAAATGCTCCATCAGCACATATTTTAGTGTGCGCGATGGACAGTATGGCTATGGAATTTACTAACCACACAATCCACATTTAGGTGATTAAGTCGCAAAACTTTATTTGCATTTGGTGGATTAAGTCGCAAAACTTTAGCTTCGTTTGGTGGCACCATTTACTCTAGGTAGACGGCGACCGGTTTTCATTACCGGTTGGTACATTTCTTACAAACATTCAGGCAAAGGCCAGTGAAAGTTGAGACAGCAGCCATGTTTTTATCGATGTTTGCCATCCTTATGTGTGCCATCGTAAAGGAATTTAGTTTTAATTTAAATCTCCGAACTTCTGAAGCTGACATATCCTATGAATGTAGGCTTGTAATGCAGGCTACAATTTAAAAACGGGTGGGACTCATTCAAAAATTCGAGGGGGTTCGCTAGAAAACGGGGGTTCACTAGAAAAGGGGGGTTCGCCCGAACCATAAAAACCCCCCCTGGCTACGGGCCTGCACTACAAAATGAGTCTCACCGTTAGAAAATCAAAAAATGAGTTAATATTACATTTTGGTAGATCACATTATAAGCTATAATTTGGTCTTTGAATGGCTTTCCTAGGATTAATAGATCCAGAGATGTTAGCATTTAAAGTTTAGGTGTATGAGAACCAGGTTTTGAGAAAATCGGCCTCAAAGATAAACCATGGAGGAAAAAAAAGAAACTAACCTGTACAAATAATATGACTAGAATTACAGAATATGCGAAGAGAACACTGTTTTAGTAAGAAAATTCACTTAAAAAGTACACAATTATAAAATATAAGTATCAAGTTATTCAAAAACATTAAAATAGTTATTTAAAAACATTAAAATCAAAATTTTGTAAAAATGTTGCCTTTGACCTATTTTGGTGAATATCTCAATATGATTTCACCAACGATGCGTCTCATTTCGTGGTGAGACCTCACATTTATTTGTGAATGAATTATATGCATATAATTATGTTAAATATTCAAATTAGCAGCTGCCATTACAAAAAAAAAAGACTTTCAGCAGTTTTTTTTTTTTTTGTGTCTTAAGCATTCATTCATGACAAATAAAGTATCCAAAGCCATGTTTTCAGGATTAGGGACTATGGTTAGAATATACATGAGTTAATTATGTGCACAGGCCATATTGTATAGAAAGGCCTGTGCGAGGAAAATATATTTTGCACAACATTTGGCTTGAAATCTGTCTGCGCACTTTGTAAAATAAGGGTAAATTTCTACACAGATTTTGCCGAAAATTAGGCTTAAATGACCAAATCTTCTAATATATAACCAATGTAATTATGCAGCAATTATGATTCCGCGCACATAATTTCTTCATAATTTGATCTCATTTTTTAGATATCCTACATGCAATTGAAAAACTTTACAGTATGTTACACAGAAGGTCTATATAGCTGTTAAATATGCAAATTAGCTTCCACTATTAAAGGAAAATCAAATTTGGAATAACTCTGCATCCTGGGCACGTAAGAACAGTTGGTTTTTAACTGAGTAACCTAGGTTAAACAAGAAATAAATAAAAATAAGATACACATTTAATTATGAAAAGTTAAGTGTTCATACATGTTTTCAGGGTTAGAGAATATTATTAGCATATTTATGAATTAATTATATGAATATAATTATTTTAAATATGCAAATTAGCAGCTGCCATTACAAGAAAATTGATTTCCCGCAGTTATTTTGTGTCTTCATGAAGCGTTCATTCATGACAAATAAAGTATCCAAAGCCATGATTTCAGAGGGTTAGGGAGTATGATTTAGCATATCTGTGAATTGAATAAATCCACATGAGGCCTAATGTTAATTATGCCCATTCAGTTTGTAGTGGTGCCCGGCTGTGAAATATTGTGGGTTGTGAATTGTATATAAGAAGTGTTGTGGTGCACTAAGGACATTCGAACGTGGTATTACATTGTTTTAATTTCTAGTTTTGGGTATCTTCTACTGGACCATCAAGGCTCTGTTAGAGTAAAGACAAGATTCAGTTAACATAGAATAAATTTGGGTACTGGTTACAGGTTTAAGAGTATGTTTTTTCACAGTTAAGAGCAAAAAATTTAATCCACATTTAAAAGGCCAACTGGATGTATGGAGAATGAACTTTTCCGCTAAGCTCCGCCCAGTGGATATTGTTGCCAAGTTTCCACAAAATGATGCAGTGTTAAAACATATGCAAACATGTGTGTTTGTGGGACAACACATGTTTTGAGATGTTTGAATATTTCCGGCACTATTTTGATTGGTCAGTTGTTATTTTTGATTGACACTCTGGAAAGCTCTATTGGACGATACTGAAGCAAAAACCTCCAGGAAACACATCTTTCACAAATTTTTCTCCAAATTTTGACCTGTGATGTGTCAAAAATTTAAAATTTATTAATTGTGTAGTACATGATATTCAATTTTGGGAAATTGGGAGAGAAGAGAATGCCTCCTGTATGGTGACATAAAATAATATACACTTCCTCAATGTTAAATTGTCGAGTTGATTGGCCGAGCGATTAAGTCAGGGGCACCGTGACCTTCAGCTCTAATATCGGCATTGTTTCGAACGGCTCACTCGCCAATGGTTCCGGTTGTGGAACAAGTCTTCTCGGATAAGGACTTTAAACCGTAGGCCCAGTGTACGCATTTGGCTCGTGTTCACTTTAAAGAACCCTGTACATCATTCGAGAAGAGTAGGGGGTTACCCTGGTGTACTGGTCCATTAAGTCCCCTGTTGTTAAATGGATATGCCACGTAGGACAGTGATTAAGTTTACTTATTGGCATATCCTTGGCCCTCTTGCCTAAAGAAATGAAATGAAATTAAATAAATGGTTTTCTTGTTCATTTTATTAGAATAAATAACGAGCAAAAATATTGGGTATGCCAAAAACAAATAAAAAGGAAAAATATGGAGATGAAAAGAGTGAATCAAAACCATACAAGAAAAAACACTGGAGTCTTGGATTACTTGATTCAATGAGTGACCCAGACCTGATTGTTGAAGAAGATGCATTGGTGACAGTCATCAAAGACAAATACCCAAAGGTATGTATGACAGTAGCACTGGTTGATGAAGGTTTAGGTAGTTATAGCAGTAAAACAATGCAAGGTGTAGTTGATCCAGGATAAGGTATGTATGAATGTAGCAGGTTGATGAAAGGTTAAGTACCTAGTAGTACATCAAAGATGTAGCAGTAAAACAATGTAAGGTGTAGTTGATCCAGGATAAGGTATGTATGAAAGTAGCAGTTTAATGAAGGGTTAAGTACCTAGTAGTACATCAAAGATGTAGCAGTAAAACAATGTAAGGTGTAGTTGATCCAGGATAAGGTATGTATGAAAGTAGCAGGTTGATGAAAGGTTAGGTACCTTGTAGTACATCAAGGATGTAGCAGTGAAACAATGCAAGGTGTAGTTGATCCAGGATAAGGTATGTATGAAAGTAGCAGGTTAATGAAGGGTTAAGTACCTAGTAGTACATCAAAGATGTAGCAGTAAAACAATGTAAGGTGTAGTTGATCCAGGATAAGGTATGTATGAATGTAGCAGGTTGATGAAAGGTTACCTAGGTAACTAGTACATCAAGGATGTAGCAGTAAAAAAATGCAAGGTCTAGTTGATCCAGGATAAGGTATGTATGAATGTAGCAGGTTGATGAAAGGTTACCTAGGTAACTAGTACATCAAGGATGTAGCAGTAAAAAAATGCAAGGTGTAGTTGATCCAGGATAAGGTATGTATGAAAGTAGCAGGTTGATGAAGGGTTACCTAGGTAGCTAGTAGTACATCAAGGATGTAGCAGTAAAAGAATGCAAGGTGTAGTTGATCCAGGATAAGGTATGTATGAAAGTAGCAGGTTGATGAAAGGTTAGGTAGCTAGTAGTACATCAAGGATGTAGCAGTAAAACAATGCAAGGTGTAGTTGATCCAGGATAAGGTATGTATGAAAGTAGCAGGTTGATGAAAGGTTAGGTAGCTTGTAGTACATCAAGGATGTAGCAGTGAAACAATGCAAGGTGTAGTTGATCCAGGATAAGGTATGTATGAAAGTAGCAGGTTGATGAAAGGTTACCTAGGTAGCTAGTAGTACATCAAGGATGTAGCAGTAAAACAATGCAAGGTGTAGTTGATCCAGGATAAGGTATGTATGAATGTAGCAGGTTAATGAATGGTTAGGTAGCTAGGTAGTAGTACATCAAGGATGTAGCAGTAAAACAGTGTAAGGTGTACAGTAGTTGATCCAAGATAAGGGATGTATGACCATCCATGGTATGACAGTAGCAGGTTGATAAAAGGCTAGGTGTTTGTAGCATAGATCCTGAGCGTAATATGTACCAGGATAAAAACAAATTTTGAGGGTGTATTAAATTCAAACTACACTCAAATACAGTACTACCACTTGAGGGCTTAAATTCAAGCTACACTCAAATACAGTACTACCACTAGAGAGCTTAAATTCAAGCTACACTCAAATACAGTACTACCACTTGAGGACAGAATGTTTCGTTGGACATTGAAACAAAATATGCAATAGTAATTGTAAAGAAAATGTCAGCCATTTCGTATTTGAATTTATTTATTTATTTATTTATTAAGGTGTAAAACAAAACAACAGCCAAAGGCTGAAAACGTTTGTGTACAATTAACAAATAAAGACAACATAAGAAAACAGGTCAGGTGGAAAAATGCTCTGCACTTAATGAAATTTGATGCCAAGAGAATACTAACTGAAATGTGTCCTTAATGCTTTGGCTATACCTGTAGTGATATTGGGGTTCTATTTCTAAATGCAGACAGTAATACTAAACTGCATTTTACTTTTGGGAGTATAAAACTACACTTACAATGATGAAATACATTTTATTTTATATAAGTTCGGGCAAAGCTTATGCTAATACAAAAGACTAAAAAAATTTTGGTTTTCTATATTGCAGTCTGTAGGATTTTTATTGATTTGTATTGTGGGGTTGTGCAGTTTTGTTTGTTTTTTTCAATCTTTAAGTTAAAGAATAATGGAAGGAGAGATTGTTGTTATTTTAGTAGTTTACATCTGTTTGAGGGGAAGTATGTTAGCTACTGTACTGTAATTCACAATTAATTTTTTTTTTTAATAGAACCATAAAACAATCCGCAGAACCTCTCACAATCCGCAGATTTTACAAGCAATTATACAAGGCTCTGGCATCATTATTTCCCTGGTCACTGGATACTGAGTTGGCAGATCCGCACATTGTGCAACTTTTTCTGCTCTCTGGGGAGTATCCCTGGTCATTGCTGCTTGAACGTGCACGACCCATACATTCCACGTCATACCATCTCACCAGGTACCCATTTATACTCCTGGGTGGAGAAAGGTAAACGTAAGTAAAGTGCCTTGCCCAAGGACACAAGCAATGCGATGAGCGTTGGTCTTGAACTCCCGATCTAACAATCAGAAGTCCAGCGCCTTACACGCCGCGCCACATGGTCCTGATAAGACATACAGTAAAGGAGAAATGTAGTGTTTGATGTACAAAAATGAATTCTCTTTTTTTGTTTTAACAAATGATTTGTTTTTGATTTTTATATATTATCTTGAATATGTTTTAAGGGAACAATTGGAATGACTATGCATTTATGTAAGGATCAGTTATTGTAACATGGGATCAGTTTTATTCTTTTGAAAAGTAGTTAAGATTTTGGGTTTTCTTTTTTGACCATCTTTTGTTTTGATTGTTTGGTTATCTTTAAGGTTATTGATTTATGTTGCTGAATGCACCGTCAAATTCACTAAAAGTGTACCTCAATTAAAAAACTAACTAAAACTATGATCTTTCTACGATCTTTATACATATAGTGTCATGTTGCAGTAGTTCAAACACAGATCCTCACAACTGTGTCTGCTGCCCTCTAATTGAGAATGCAAGCCTTTGGGGTATCATAACAAAATGAGTCTTGAGGTATGCCAGGCCATTTTAAGTGTATAAAGCCATATTTTGACAAGTGATAGTTTAATATTGTATACTGTATTTATTTTAATAAATGCCTTTCTTTGAATTAACTTCCTCTTCCAGAGCCTCATTACGTGTAAACGCTTCTAATAAATGTACCCCCTCCAATTGACTGTAAATAAAACTAATGGAAGCAACATCATCATGGGCGGATCCAGGATTTGAAAGAGGAGGGCTTCAAGATGTTTCCAAAAAAACCCAAAAAAGGAAGGCAGCAGGGTCCTCACCCATTGAAAATTTTGATTCCTAGATGGCCGGAAATGAGCTTTTCCGACTTCTGAGTAGTCGTTTAATGACCATTAAGTTTTTAAAAATTCAAGGTTTTTCCCCTCTTGAAAACAATCAGGTAATTTATGTCATTGTTAGGCCTATATATTAAAGACATAGGCAATATTATATTACAACAACCAAAAAAAGTGTGTATAATTTATTTAATTGAATGACATGTTGGGCTAATCCTAGTGTGTCTGATCTGCCAACCTATGCCTGGGAAGGTTAGCATGCCTTTTGTAAGCCACTATCCAGTAGTAACTTCTTACGTTTCTTCACGATGTGGGGGGGGGGGGTTCGCCTGAACCCCCTGGATCTGCCACTCATCTCATTCTATTAATAAGGATAATGACAGTGGTGAATAATTTTGATTGGTAATGATAAATGACAGAATGCCTGTCAGGTCTAGGTCTGTAGTAGTATAATACTGTAATAATATTTTATTATAAATTGGCAACTTATCCTTTTCTTTCTTTCTTTCACTTTATTGATAAAAAACAACACTCAGAGGTATTACAAATGGTGGCCCAATGGGCCAAATTGCTTGTAATATTACAAAAGTTATGGGCAAGAAAGCGGCAAAAACATTAAAATTTTAAAAATGAAGATACAAGAAATACATATAAAAAAAAAATAAATAAAAAAAAATAATAAATATAAAAAAAAAATTATTATTTTATTATTATAATTATTATTATTATTATTATTATTATTATTATTATTATTATTATTTGGACCGAAAATTTGTAGCACCAATCGGGAAGGAGGGTGGCACACTCAAATCATCAAGGGTAACATTGCTGTTTATGAATTATTGAGTAATCGGATATAGTACGGGATTGGACTATTGAAAAATCTATTTGTTTTAATGGAAAATTGCGTGATTTTGTTACCATTGCAGAGATTTTTTTTGTGGCTGCGGTAACGAGTGTGTGGTACCAGATCAGAAGAATGTGAGGTTAAAGTACAGTAAGACCCTTGGCGAATTTGAGACAGTGTGCCACCCTCCTTTCCGAGAGCAGTTCAAGTTCACATATGCCCAAGGCATGTTCATAAGAATTGAAATGTTTGCCTAAGATTATATGGCATGCCCTTTTCTGTATGCTTCAATAGTGTTACTTAAATCTTGAGTGAGGCCAGGGTGCCACACAACATCAGCATATTCTAATATTGGTCTGATATACCCTGTATAAACTGCTCTAAGTTCTTGTTTATCAAGTCCAAATTTCTTAAGATTACGGAGCATAAACAGTTTCCTGTTGGCCTTAGTAACAATATTGTTAACTTGGGCATCCCATTTCAAATTATTTTGAAGTGTGATGCCCAATATTGTAGTTTTATCAACCACAGTAATAGGTCTGCCATCAAAACAAGGTTGTATAATTGGAGGATTTCTTGCAAAGCAGACCTGCAGTGCCTGGCACTTTTTAGGATTGAGCTGTAGGGAGTTTGTAGCACACCAGTCATAAAAAACATTAAGATCATTTTGTAAAATGCCTTGTTGGCCAATGAATCTGTTTTCATAAAAAGTTAAATCATCAACGTATTTCAAATATTTGGTAGTCATGCTCTGTCCTGCATCATTAACTAAAATTTGGAAACCAACAGGTCCAAGTTTTGTGCCTTGGGGTATTCCTCCTTTGAGCGATATAAATTATCCTCATGTTTTAGTAGGTCAAGGAGGTACTTCCTTGATTAGGTTGATGGGTAGTCCATCTGGAGCAGCTCTCACAACCTCTTGAAATACTTTAATATATTTTCCTTTATAGTTCAAACTATAAAAAAACTTTTCTTTTTTTTTCTATATTATATACAGTAGTAATATTATTTAATGAAATTTGTTTATCTAGCAAATCCGGTCATTGTACTCTTTTAACCATGTTTTATCTGTTGGTTATTAAGGAATGCAAATGTTCTTAGTCATTTAGTATTTTGATCTTAAGATCAGAGAAATAGTAGGCCAACACTCTACCCCCAAACCATTCTACAGGTTCACACCAAAGATGTTTGAGAAGAGGTGCAGACTTTGAAATTCGGATATATTGTTTTTTGGGGTTTTTTGGAGTATAAATACTCTTAGTTAAGAATGACAAGATTTTTCTTTCCGTTTATTTCGCCTTTCAGTTTGTACTGATGATGGGTGAGAGAGAACACCTGAAACATGTTTACTACAATTAAATCCTTAGTTCTTTTCTTAAAATGTGTTGTATTTTTCATCAATTTGCGTCCGTTTGGTTCCATCATTAAGGATTTTAGTTCAGAAGACCTGCCAATTTGTTTGCTTAGGAAGTATGAGAAGATATCCCTACGCTTCATTAAAGCTGAATCATTTTTTACACAATTGTAAAACGTTCGGCGTTTTCCCAAAATTAATTTAATATATGTTTTATTCGCAACTAATTAAAAATTCAGTTGCAGTACAAAACTTTAAATCTTAACATTTGACAAAAGCCAGAACAATTTGTTACAGAACAGGAGCAGCTCACCCAACTATGCAAGGAAATTCCTACTATCATCTAAAAAATCTGCTTTTATTAATATTATACAATGTTTATACCGTTTGTCCGAACTTTGGGAATATGAAATTGTTCGGTGGATTTGAAATTATAATTGTGGGCTGATGCCTTTAGTAAGAGGGAAATGTAATTTATGGGACTGTTTTTTTTTTTTTCTTTTCGCATTATTTAAATCGTTCAAAAGATTCTTGATGTCTGCAAGATGTGTATAAGAGACAGACTAATAATAATCCATTCGCGCGTGAGTTGCTGTAGTATGACAACGTAACAGTTTGTTTTTAAAATGGTCCTGTTTAAATTAATACAATTAAGAAGATACTTAATTTCAAAAATGATAAAGCTTAATCTACAACATGGAGTACATTGAATTTTTTTCAAGTACATCGACAAAGATCACAAGTATTATGATGGAGTGGAGAGGAGGTTTTGGGAGGAGGAACGAAGGTGACGAGACAGTTGGTAACGAGGAAGAAGTTCAGCAAGGTATGAGGGAAGCTAAAATGGATTGCTTTAAAAGTTAATAAAAGTATTTTAAACATAATGCGTTTGTCGACAGGAAGCCAATGGAGAGTACGAATTACAGAATAGTACAGTCTAAATGTGACAAAAATCCTATTTAACCTTAAACTCTAATAAAAGGACTGTTTGCATATTCTTGTAGGCCTATATTTGAAAAGTCATGAACAAATTTTTGCCACCCTTTTATAGTTGCATTTACAAAATATTCAGGGTCAAAGGTCAATTACCTGTATGCAGCATGTTCCAGGTCAGAACTCTTTCAACTACTTGCTCTAAAAGCACAAAAATGGTGTCTACACTGAGATTTTTCGGGACAACAATTATGGGAATTTTTTGACGCCTTATACTAGCTGCGTTGACCAAATATTCAGGGTCAAAGATCAGAATAGCTTTTATATAGCATGTTTCGGGTCATAAAATCCTTAATTACTTCGTCTCAAAGCACGAAAATCGTGTCTACACTTAGATTGTTGGGGTCAACATTTATGGAAACATTTTTACCGCCTTCTAGTAGCGGTGTTGACTAAAAATTTAGGGTCAAATGTCAGTGACCTTTATACAACTATGATCGTCATAACTCCTCAACCAGTTTACCTAGATGCACAACAATAGTGGCTACCCCTAGGTTTTTGGGATCAACATTTATTCAAATTTTTTTGCCACCTTCTAGTATCTGCGTTGACCAAATAATATTCAGGGTCAAAGGTCAATGACCTTTATACAACATATGATGGTCATAACTCCTCAATTATGGGAAATTTTTGACGCCTTAGAGTGGCTGCGTTGACCAAATATTCAGTGTCAAAGGTCAGTATAGCCTTTATATAGCAAGTTCCAGGTCATAAATCCTCAACTACTTGGTCTCAAAGCACGAAAAATTGTGTCTACACTTAGATGCGTTGACTATATATTTATGGTCAAAGGTCAGTGACCTTTACACAACTATGATCGTCATAACTCGACCAGTTTGTCTAGATGCACAAAAATAGTAGCTACACCTAGGTTTTTTGGGATCAATTTATTAAAGTATTTTTGCCACCTTCTATTAGCTGCGCTGGCTAAATATTCCAGGTCAAAGGTTACTGACCTTTATCCAATATAATATGATGGTCATAATTCCTCAACCACTTGGTCCAGAAGCACAAAAATATTGCCTACACCTATAGTAGGCCTGTTAAGTGAACCAATCCTTCAAATTGTGATAACATTCTGAAACTTGGCACAGTTATTCATTGGGGTATCAACAACATGGAATTGAAGGGTAGCCCAAAATTTGGTCAGGGGAAAGTGGCTATTTTGGATTTCAAAATGGTGGACCCCAAATTTTCACTTTTTAGGTATATCTCAGCTGAAAGGCACCTAAAGTGTTCTGATTTTGGGGGCAAAGTATATGGTATTGGGGTCAACAAACATTGGTATAACTTACATTTCGATTGCATGGTGGCCATTTTGAATTCCAAGATGGCTGCCATTAGATTGCATTACAACGCATTTCTGAACTTGTAGAGCCTCAATTACGGTGAATGTTATTGGGTTTATTAAACAAATATATGCAATTACAAATACTGACTGAATAAATGTTGGCTCTTTTGAATTCAAAGATGGCCACCAAATACATGGTTTCAAGGCTTATTCTTTTATAACACCTTTATTACATGCAGTAAATATGGTGTCACAAGAAAATTTTGGATACAACCTCACTTATGATTTTTGATTTGGGAGACAAAGTCATTGTAATTGGCG